GTCGCTTAATAAACATCAATTTTTTCAGTCTTGGAGGCTGGGTTGCAACACGAGCATCAGGAATGAAGAAAAATATCTATGGCAACATTGAAGACCTTGTTGTTCAGGTGAAGGCTGTGACACCCAAGGGAACAGTAGAGCGTTACACAGCAGGCCCAAGAGTTTCTGCAGGGCCTGATGTTCAACACTTTATCATGGGCTCAGAGGGTGTGTAGTTAAGCTCATGGATATGAGTTAGTAAACAATGGGTGTATTGCTTTAAGCCGTCACTTTGGACAAAAACATACTAATTTTAGGTACAAAATCTTTTGCTTGAGTGTAATACATTTGATTCTTTCTTTGAAATGCCCCTTTTCAATTCAGTTTTTTTGGTAAAGAAATGTAATCATCATTGGACTATATATTTCAGGAACCCTTGGAGTGATCACAGAAGTTACACTGAAGGTGCGTCCTCTGCCAGTAGTGCAGCGATATGGGTCTATTGTATTCCCAGACTTTACTAGAGGTGTGAACTGCATGCGTGAAGTTGCTCTTCATCGGTGCCAGCCTGCGTCCATTCGGTTAATGGATAATGAACAATTCAAATTTGGTGGGTTTGATTTTCCTGTTTTGACAGATGTTTTAAAGTCATTTATAGAGTTGTTTACTGAAAAATCTGTATTTGGCTATATATAATGAACAAAGAAACAAACTTTTTGTTTGGTAAATTTGTGTGTATGCCCTACTTAGTTCATTAACTCCAGATGGTAATCGAATATCATCTCTCTATGTAGTAACTCAGTGCTAGAAAAAATAATTCACATTTTGTTATGTGTGTATGTCATTTTTTTATAATGCTCAATTTTCTGTAATGCAACCTGTGCTGCCAGTCATGGCACACTCATTTATCAGTGCCCCTTTCTAAATGCCAAATGAGTCTAATCACCCTCCAAGAGGTTTGTTTATTTGTGGCAAGTCTTTTCCATCACCCTGACCTTTAATCATGCTTGCATGTTCATGTCACCTGGCCCTCAACCCAAATTTTTTTGTGATATGATGAAGGGGTTAAGAAATGTTGTGTATTGATTAAGAAACCGTAGATAACTACAGTACTCTTATAACATTTATAAAGGTGATAGTTTGTTTTAACATGATAATTTTATCTATTTCTTATCTTTATTTATTTCTTTTTTCAGGTCATGCACTTAAGCCTCCAACTGGATTCATGGGTCTTCTTAGCGAAGGAATAAAGAAGATGTATATAACTCGTATTAGAGGCTTTGATGTACATACCATGTGTGTAGCCACCCTTCTTTTTGAAGGTTGGTAGTAACAATAGTTTTTTTGGGGGGCTGTTTTTTTGTGGTTAGAGAGTTCATTAAGAGGAACAATCTAAAGACACCCAAAATTGTTTTCTAGGGCTTTATTGATCTATATACTTTTTATGCATTTCTGATTACCTACTGCCTTGAAGAATTCAACTTAAACTAGCTAACCCCCCTCTAAGGATCAGATGGTTTTCACTGTTATATTGTTGAAAATGTGGATGAACAAGGCTCATATAAAAATTATACATATAACCTGTTGGTATTTTCAATGAAGAATGGTGTGCTGTTGATATAAATGAATAATGCAACGATTGCTGAAATATCTTAGATAATGATTACATAACTGGAACACAAACAGCCACATGGAATTCAAGTATAGACAACAATAGCTTGCCTGATTTCTTGATATAAATGAGCACGAGGAAATATATTACAAAAAAACTGTTTTCTCAAAATGAACTTCATTTGCCGCCTTGTAAATGTAGAGATATGCTAATATTTCAGTGGAGTCTCAAGAAATTAATACTGGTGGGAACAGGTTTTGGACATTTTTCTTTATTTTATCAAAAAATGTGAGGTAATAAGATGGGAGAAAACAACATTTTGTATTTTTTTAGAAAATGAACTAGATTTACAGGCATTATACTCACAAATGAAAACGGCTATAAAGAATCTAATCTCCCAAAATCAATATGACTTTTTCCAATTCAATTGGGACCCAAATCACATCTGAATGACAAATATCTGACAAAAAAATGGTGAAAAAAGCTAAGTAATCTTTTTGTATATGTTAGGTTAAACATTGAAGTTAGCTATACTTATCAGCTAAGGTTAGAAGGGTAAACAGCAAAAAGCTCTTATCTTAAAAAAATTTAGATAAAAAAGAGGGTTGATTTTATAAATGCTACACTTTACATGTAATGATCAGATATAGTTAAGGAAAAATATTTTTCTCTCTAATGGTTTAGCAAACAACTCTTTACCTGAATGCAAACTTCAGTTGATTGTGTTCTTGTGCCCTCAAAATAGGCTCAGAGTATGAGGTGGCGGCACAAGAGAAGAGGATTTACGACATTGCCCTGAACAACGGGGGCATACCAGCGGGGGAGGCTAATGGCCAGAGAGGTTACATGCTGACTTTTGTTATTGCATATATAAGGGTTAGTAGTTATTTGTGACTTGGCTTTGCTTGACTTTCTTTTGTGTATTGTCATTTTTGGACTTACATTACCAGTTTTGTTTGAATATTTATTTATGTTTAATGTTTTGTTGTTTCTCTAAAGAAGAAAATGCATTAGATAATTTAAATCATATTCATTTAAAATTTATGAACTTTTTCAGGATCTTGCATTTGATTATGGCATAGTAGCAGAATCCTTTGAAACCTCTGTCCCCTGGGATCGTGTTCAAGCCCTTTGCCATAATGTTAAGCATCGGATTAGTTCAGAATGCACAGGTTGGTTATTATAGCACATTCTTGCATCTAACTTCTGTTCATAAAGGTATATAAACAAGGAAAAAGAAGGTTACACTTACAAGATCTAAGGACATTCATAAATGACTTTAATTCTTTCTCTTTGTTATCTACTCTCCCTGCCTTTTCTCTTCTGTTCTTCTCTTTCTGTTCTTCCTCTTCCAGACCTTTACCCTCCTCCTCCTATGCCTCATCTACCTCCTTCAGTTCCTCGTCCTTCTCCATCTTATAGGTAATTAATTGAACTTTTTTGTTCTTTACTCTTTCAGAGAGAGGAATCAAGCACTTCTTTGTGACATGTCGTGTCACTCAAACATACGATGCGGGGGCTTGCGTCTACTTTTATTTTGCTTTCAACTACCGTGGTTTGTCAGATCCAGTACATGTCTATGAAGAAATTGAGGTACAGTTTTATCCTTCATGTACTTTATTTATTAAAAAAAAAAGAAACTATTAGTTTATCAAGTATGCCCTGCTAATGAAAATGAAGGTGAAATATAAATCATAATCTGTTTGTCAAATAAGTACTGATACTAAGGAAAGGTGTTCCATCTCACAGTTGCCTGCCCTTATACCTGGTGCACCTTGTTTTCAATGAACAGTAGAAGCGGGAACTATGTGTTTGTTTCCCTTCTAATACTACAACTTGAATGGATTGGAGTATGAGATTACTGTGATATAAAAATTTGGTTAAAATCAATCATGCATTATGTTTACTAAACATGCATACTTCTTTATAAGGAGGGACTTACTCTTATTTAGTGATTGTTATCAGACTTTGATATATATATAATATATATATATATATATATATATATAATATATATATATATATATATGTATGTATATATATATGTATATATATATATGTATGTATATATATATATATTATATATATATATATATATATATATATATATAATATATATATAATTATATATAATATATATATATATATATATATATAATATAAATATATATATATTATATAATATATATATATATATATATATATATATATATATATATATATATATAATATATATAGTGTGTATGTGTGTGTGTGCTGTCGTCGGACGTTGTGTGACTATATATATATATATATATATTGTACTATAAAATACTATAGTGTTATATATTAACTATATTATACTATAATATGTATATCTATATGCTATATATATCTATATTATATACTTATATATTATAATATAATAGGTTATTGGGTATGATGTTTGTCTTGTATATATATATAGCAATTAATATGTATNATATATATATATATATATACCTGTGTGTATATGTGTACAAAGGATGTTATCAAACGATTGCCCCTAATTACACAGCATAAACAGGGGCATGTACTGGCACGATATCTTTCGCTTTACAATCTACATTTGTATCTTTATTTGCGCTCCGGTTATCACGGATTCTGTTCTGGAGGATTCTGGGAGAAAGCGTCACCTTGATCGCCTCCGTGCAGTGACATCTATGAGGCTCTCGACAAGGTCTATATAAGTACTTATATAGACCTTGGCTCTCGAGGCCCAGGATTTTCTGCACCGGTTGGCAAGTGACGGATTCTTCGCTGACTTCACTGGGAAACCAAATTCTCAGAATGACTCCTGGTGAAACGAAGACAGGTGTCTTGAAGTCAGTCAAGGCCCCAGACTGTTTTCAGTCAAGAAATTAATCTGGATCTTCAAGCCGTTTGGAACCAGCTTTTTAGGCCCTATTTTCGATCCGTGTTTCTCTGAACATGTGATTCCTTTCATGAAAGACCCTGTCCGTGTTCTAGATGTGCGAGAAGCGACATTTCTTCACGACGAAGCGCCCTGCATGAAGACATTTTCGGAGACGACGAATGGTCAGCCACTCAGTGACCTCAGTATTTGTGAGTGCGTGGGTGCGGTCATGAATGATCCAGCAGGTCCCCATTCATCGCCTCTTTTTTCCCCTCGTGCCATTTAAGAGGCCAAAGTCACTGAAATGCTTCTGAGAATGAGTGAAGACACCGAGCTCCTCGAGTTGCTTCTGCAGTCCTCCTAACCCGAATTCAGGCTGTTCGTGAAGCGCATGCAGGAAACAGCCGATTGAATTTTGTACGGATAAGCTCACTAATAAAGTCACTAAACAACATTATATTTTTTATTTAATTACTTTAACTATAGCCTGAGTAAGGGGGGAACAATGATTTTATAACACCCATTATATATATA